TGAAGATGGGGGGGGGGCGGCTCTCAGGACTTCCCACCAGGAAGAGCAGTTAGTTCCCCCACGTAACCGTGTTTCCCCCTCAGCCCCCTGCGATGTGAGAAACAGAGAGATGAAAGAGATCTCCTCCATCGTGCATTCCCAGAGAACAGCATGAGGAGGAGATTCTCAGGGGTCGTTTCTCGGGTGCAGGGAGGGATGGGTAGCTGAGAACTAGGCACCATGAAGTAATGAATCCACCGTGCAGGCAGGAAACTTGAGGTTCAGAGAATTGAGAGGGAAAGCTGGACTGGGGCCCTGAGCGCTTGTCCCAGGGCCTTGTCCCATGTCCCCCACACTTAGGGCCAATCCACTGGGCCCAGGCCAGACCCTTCCTGTGTGCAGAGCTGGGGAGGGGAGGACCGCATAGACCAAGAGGGCCCATGCGGGTGTGGGGAGCCTAGCAGGGGAGGAAAAGACACTGAATGTGCGACGTTCAAAAGCGGGAAGGATTAAGAGTGCGCCCTTCCCCGGTCCCACCGTTCCCTTCCAGACCGAGGCAGCTGGGGGTGGCGGGTCCACTGCTCCGTGCCCCCCCCCCCGAGGGGCCCCGTGGTGCCCTCAGATGGGAGGCTTCCAGGAGGAGGTCAGAGTCTCCCTTTCCTACAGAGACACAGGGGAGCTGCAAAGGGTTGGGGTCGGGGGTCCCCTGAAGAGTGCTGGTGGGGAAGGCACTGCAGGCGAGGGACAGCCCCTCCCCCACTGCCGGGCCAGGACAGGGCACACAGATGCCAGCCGTGAGCCCGGTTGTCAGGAGGGGAGCACGTCCCTGGGAGGGGGTGGGGCGTGGTGTTTGGTTGTTTGATCAGGGGACCCAGATGTCCTCTTCCCAGCACAGCTCTGCGCAGAGCCAGGTCCTGAGGGCAGGCAGGCAGGGGTTAATCTGTGAAGGTCGTAGATTTGTTTTTCCAAATGACTCCCATCAGGGGAGCCCTAGAGAGGCCGGGGCATGATGAGAAGTGGCATGTGGGCGCCTTGGAGAGCCTGATTGGCCTTTGCCTGGAGGGGCTAGAAGTGTTTTCTCATTCTCTCCCTCTTTTTGTGCATGTGAACACATACACACACACACACACACACACACACACACACACACACACACAGCAGCTGTGCAGAGCCAAGCACAGGGACCATTAATGACAACAGGAAGAAGGTGTGATGCAAGCCTCAGGGAGCCAACCTTGCCTGCCCGCTACCAGGAGCTGGGCCTGGGTCTGTGTGGGGGTGCGGGGGTCTGTGTGGGGGTGCGGTGCTGCCGAGAGCCAGGCAGGAAGTGGGGAGCAGGATCCAGAGAGCCTAGCAGGACATGACTGGCGAGCCGAAGAATAGACTCGAATCCTCCAGCCTGGAAGGTATCCTCTGGAGCAAATGAGAGTGCACGGGCCAGGCATCCAGCCCAGTCAGGGGGCCGTCTCAGGTGCCTTGGGGAGAGGAAGGAAAGTGGGTCTGAAGAAGCCAGGCACACCCCGGTCCCCGGGGGAGGAGTGGATCTGGGAACCAGATGTCCACCAGTTCAAACCATGGCCCCTGAGTGCCCGGTGGACGCAGCCCTGAGCTGAGCACCGCGGACTCGGTGCCGACTAACAAGGGCCACCCTCGGGAGATCCCGTCCTTGGAGAGGTGACAAAAACGTGGACAACAGTTGTGGGGTGAGGCCCCCGGTGTTCCGGTGGGTGCTAGAGCCAGAACTGGCCAGCCCGAAGGGGGAAGTGACTAACTCAGGTCAGAGGATCGGGGACGGACGGGCTCGACCCGAGGTTCGCAGGACAAGAGCTGGGTGTGTGGCCAGGCCCGGGAACCCTCCTGAGGCTTGGAGACATTAGCGAGGACCCGTTTATCAGCCCCCTGGATATCAGGCCGAAGAATTTTCATTTGAACTTTCGGCAGTGGGGAGCCACGGACGTCCCTTCGAGAGTAAACCGGTGCGGGGACCAGACATCCGGCTCCCTTAGGCCTGGGAGGGAAGCGGGAGGTGTGAGGCTTTGCATCCCAGTCACAGAATCCATTCATTCATCACATACTTGCTGAGCACCAGTTTTGTGCCAAGCACCAAGGATACAGCAATGAACTACACAAAGATCCCTGCCCTTCCGGAGCTTACCGTAAACAAAATAAGTAACTCAGACATTAGCCAACGTTAAGATGTAAGGAGAAAAGTTAAGTAGGAAGGGGGGTAGGGAGTGTTTAAACGGATGGTCAGAGAAGTCCTCATTGAGGAGGTGACATCTGAGCAGAGACTTAAAGAAGGTGAAGGACCGCATACAGGGAACAGCGCTCTAGCCAGAGGGAACAGAATGTGCAAAGACCTCAGAGCAGAAGCTTGGCTGGCTTGTTTGAAAAACCAGCAAAACAAAGTCAGTGCGGCTGAGGAAGAGAGGCAAAGGGGGTGAAGTCAGAGAGGCGGCAGAGGCCTTGCAAGCCCCGTAAGGACTTGAGCGTTTAATCAGATGCAGGCTGCCGGGGGGTTGTGAGCAGCGCAGGAAGGTCACCCCAGTTGTTTTGAGACGATCCCTTTGGCTATAGAGTGAAGAGACCGGGAGGGGACGCGGGCGGAGGTGGGGGGCCATCTGGGAGGCCACCGCTGTCAATCCAGGAGAAGGGCACAGTGCCCAGCAGCGGAGGCGGTGACTGAGCATTGGATGTGCTGTCATTTAAAGGTGGAGCCCACAGGCTCTGGGGGC